TTTGAAAAACAATGACACCTCCTTTTTTCTGACCATCTTCAATTCTTTTATGTGGTCATAAGCTTTGTTTCTTGAACCTTTCTTTTCGTGCCCTATTAACATTGAAAAAGAGAGAAAATGAGACGTTCCTGTCTTTGAATTATGAGAGAGAGACCTTCGTTTCTTGAATTGTTCTTTCAACCCATGGACATGGCCAAAGACTTGATGAATGAAATTTGTCAATCCATTTTAAAAAAAGGCTACTTTTTTTTTATAAGTATCAATTTCAAACAATTATCTTGTTAGAACATACAATTTTGGTGTTCGAAAGCTTTACAATAGTCAGAAAATCTTATTTTACTAGCTCCAAAAGTGGATGATACAGATCAAACAGGTCTATAAGTATTTGAAATTCTTGAAAATTGACGGTCTAACCAATATATTACAAAATACACTATTTTTAAGACTTGAAACTTTTTTTCTCTTTATATTCATCCATCCCGAGGTTGAGATGATCAATTGGAAGGTTTTTAAATACTGGAATGACTTTCAATGACCTTTGGAAGTGTGCCTTACTTTTGTAGTGGATGCCTTGTATAAATTTCTACACTTTGAAAAACAATGACACTTCCTTTTTTTCCAACCATCTCCAATTATTTTCCGTGGTCCAATAGAATGGAATGTATTGGACGTAACATCGTAGCAATAATTTTCTGTCTTTATTTTATGTTTCATAACAAGGTGATCCACGTACTTTGTTTTAGAAACAGCCATTTTGAAAGGGGCTGGGGTCATGGTGGTAGCATCTCCACACCCAGTTACCACATCGTGGTATCCAGTCCTATTGCTGACACTTCCAATTAAAAGAACGGGTAGGGGCCTGTCTTCCTCGTTGAATTAAAAAAAAAAAAAACCACAAAATTAGGCATTTTTTAAGTCATTATTTGCCCTCTACTGATGAAAATTAGTATTTATAATTAAAGACTTTCTCATACAAATTCGTCCTCCAAATGCAAAAAAAAGAAATGAGCTCTAATGTTTATCTTTATTATTCAAATGCACAATGATAATGGGATTATTAGGTGTTAAAGTTGTATTTTTCAGAGAGAGAAAACGATTTTCGTCTTCACAAAATGTGATCGGTCAAGGCCATAAATATTCAAATAACTGCTATAAATGTTAACAGTCATAAAAAATAAACCTTACCTGCTATAGATGTTCAAACAACTGGATAGCCAATCACAAGGGTTCAAGTTTGAGCTTTCGATTCCTAAACTAAATCACTGAACACTCTAGATAGGTTGTGAACGGTTAATCACTTAATAAAGCTGATGCGCTGCCTTACTCTGCCAAATCACTTGGTGGGTGGTGTACTCGGTCGGCTACAATTAGGGCTGAGAATGGGTCGAATTGGTTATGGATCCACCGCGATCCAGATTCAGATATGAAAAATATATATATGAGACTAATATCTGGATCCAGATCTAATCGGATCCAAAACATTACTTTATATCCATAAAATAATATATAATATTCAATTATAACATTTTAATAACCGAGTCGGATCCGGATCAAATCCACCTGAATCCTTTTTGAATTACTATTCGGATTCAAAGTTTAGATATGGATCCAATCGGTCGGATCCAACCTTCGATCATACTAGGATCCAGATAGGGTTCAAAATTTAGGTTTTGGATCCAAACCGGGTAAATTATTTGCCCTAGCTACAATCACATGACCGACAACACCCCTATGTTTGATGTTTAGCAACAGTCGCCCAATACGCATTGTGGCACGTCAACTTGATTGCGATCACCCTTCATGCCCTAGATGTACCTCATGAATAAATTAGAGTTTCACCAAGTGTGAATAAATACAATTTTTTTTTTTAGATGAGTTAGCAAAGAAGAGATCCCCAATCCATAATAAAAATAGAACTCAAGATATCATGTTGTGACAATCACGACATTGATCACCTACGCCTTGAGTTCATTTACAAAAACAACATTTACTTCATTGTAATGTGAGAAGTTCATTGTACCGAGAGAAGGTGATGGCAAACTTTGTCTGTGATGTCAAAAGGAACTTGTGCCATTGCCTACTCGGGCCGAGTTCTGGGAACTCGGGCTTGTTACCCTGCTGTGTCTAACTATCCCGAGTTGTGTGTCCCATTCGGAGATCTTAAACAATTTTTTTTTAAAATATAAAATATTCCCGCGTTGTGTGTCCCATTCGCAGATCGTAAACAATTTTTTTTTAAAATATAAAAAATTCCGACATTGTGTGTCCCATTTGGAGATCTTAAACAATTTTTTTTAAAAATATAAAAAATTCAAAAAAATAAGAAATTTTTTTTGTAATATGATTTTTTTTTTTTTATGTTTTCTACCATTTTGGGAAATATTGGAAAGTGTTTCGGCCATAAATACTTATTTTTACATTTTCTTTTTTTTAGATTATTTATAAAATACCTTCATCATAAATTAACTTTTTTCAAAATCAACTTTTTTACGACGTTTTTAATCTCATTTAGATGATATTTGTTTAACTTTACTCCAAACATATTTTTCCTATTTTCAGGAATTCCTTTTTTTTTTTACACTTCTTAGCTTGGCTAAACCTTGACCCCAAGTGAACCAAATTACTCGGACTCGGGCCGAGTACTCGGCGCAGGCACTGGCCAAGCTCCAGTCGTTGCTTCGAACGCTGCAACAAATAAAGTAAATTGAGTATATTGTGAAGTCATCATGTCGCTGGCTCTTAGATATCACAAGCTTCGATCCCACGATGAATTTCTTCCGAACAGTGACCATTGGTCCCAATGTTTTCCTTGAGGGGCCTTTAGGAAAATGTTTGAAAAATGAGTTGGGCCTATTGATTTAGTACTCTAAAAAGAAAACAGTTTATACGAGGTGTTAGCTTTATACTATTGAAGTAACGGCATCTCAAAAACCATAGTCGGAGCTGGAAAACTCTCAAATCGATTATTTCGACATCGAGATGTATAGATAGAAAGAGAAAATGGATTTCAAGTAATGAAAAAAGTACATCTTGAGACAAATTATCAGGACCACCTATTTTTTAATATTTTAATTGTTTATAGATATGTTCAATGAAATTTATAATTAGGTGGGACTATAGATTTTATGCCATTGCATGGCTTTTCGGAAGCAAAAGTGCATCTTTCAACATGATTTTGAGGTACGTTTATTTTGATTGTTTGAGTTTGATGCTTTATATAAAAACTCAAAAACTCGCCTTTCTATAAATATGTTTTTTTTAAAGAAGTTGTAGACTATAAGACCATTCACTTTTGATACAATATCACTTTTAGCTTTTGAATGTAAAATTCTAATTGTTGAAGTATGTCATGATATTCAAAAAAATTTATTTTGGATATTATACCTGAATACATCTCCAACCACCCAATTTTACATCCAACGGTCACAACTTTGTGCCGAGTATGCCTTGCTCCATTGGTAATAAGCTTATATGTGACAACCGTTACCTAATGTACTTATCACCATCCAATCAACTTGTTGAACAGTGATGAAAAGATTCATGGCCAAATTATACCATAGGACCCACTTCTTCATCCCATCTTGAGTTTTGGCAAAACTCACAAGAATATCTTTTAGATCTCAATTTTTGGGGATGTGATCTCTAGAATAAGGCATTCAAGCTCTCTCTATTCTATGTACTTAAAAAAATGGCATCCCAAGCTTGCAATAGTACCATCAAATTTTTGGAGGAAATTATTTAGATGTTCAAAAACTCAAAACTAATATTCATTGTTTTTTTTTTTTTGTAAATAATCATCTAGTTATAATTAAATAGATTTTAAAATAAAGGAGAAAAAAAGAAGAAGACAATTTCTACGAGTCTATGTAAAAATGAGTCCCCTCCTAAAAATCTATTTTTGAGATGGATTTTTGGACCCAATTTTTAAGAACATATAATCGCTAACATGGAGATCACGAATATAATAAATAAATAATTTTTAAAATTTTTAAAATTATGAAAAAAACATTTGGACTGTTAGTTTCAACTGGTATTAGATGGAGCACCCATCTGCATCCATATTTAAGATGGATGTTTTTTACCTCGAGGGCCACAAATGTAGAAATGCATCATCCAACTCATGGAATAATTTTCCAAAAAAAAAGGAAAAAAAAGATAAACATACAAAAATATCATTTATATTTAATACAAAGAGATCACGATCATTCACGTCTGTTAGATTTTAAATCGGGTGGTCGTGAGTTCATTCAATAAATTCAAAGTTCAAAAAAAAAATTATCGAACTTTATAACACACCTCAATCCATCAATTTTTACATTTAATGACTAGTAGTAATTGTGACCTTATAACAAAAACAAATAGTCTCATTGTATACAATCCCAAAAGGAAAATTGTTTAGTGCGGCCAAGCCCACACCTGTTACTATGCGGGTTTGAGGATCTACACTATCCACCAAAGAAAGTGTAGATCTACACCATAAACAATAGTCCTCCAAAGCAAAAGTAAAATATAAACGTTTCAGATATTCTATCAAAAAAATATCATTTTTAGTTTTTAAAATTTATTTGTTTCTACATATTGATAATCTACATGTTAAAAGATTATTTATTCTTTAAAAAAATTACATTAATTTCTATTTCAAAAATAAGTTATTAAGAGGCCCACATTTGTACAAATGTGGATTCATTGAAACCGTGTCCATCCCCCCCCCCCCCCCCCCTCCCCCCCAAAAAAAAAAAAAAATCCTAATTAGTAGCAATTGTGGCCTTTTTATAACAAAGATAAATGGTGTGTATACAATCCAAAAAAAAAAAAAAAGCCTCCCTGAGTTGAGTTTAGTTTAGTTTTTTTTTTTTTGGGCCTGAAGGAGAAAATGTATATAGTGTTACCGAGGGAGCACGGTATACCCGTGCAAGAGAGGGAACAGCGTGTTTTCATTTCGAGTTTTGTAAATTAAAATATGGCCCCCACCAAGTAGGCTTTCTGCTGCTGCTTTTAAAAGCAGGGTTCAAGTGCGAAGTTTGAAGAGAGAGAGAGAGAGAGAGCTGTGAAACGGTGAAAAAATGGTGAAACAAGGAGAGGGGCTTAGGCAGTATTACGTGCAACACATCCATGATCTACAATTGCAGGTGCGCCAGAAGACCCACAATCTCAATCGTCTTGAAGCTCAACGCAATGATCTCAACTCTAAAGGTCTCTCTCTTTGCAGATTACTTCGTTGTACCTAACCCTAGTTTTCCGTCTTCTCTCTCTAATCCTTTGTGATGTGGAGACTTGTTCATAATTTTTTGTTTTTTTTGGGTGGGATTTGAGCAGTCAGGATGCTTAGAGAGGAGTTGCAGCTGTTGCAAGAGCCAGGATCATACGTTGGGGAAGTGGTGAAGGTTATGGGCAAGTCCAAGGTTTTGGTTAAGGTATATGTTGTCTAGTATTCTGGTTTTCTTCTGAGTTGTTTGGATTTGATTTCCTTTCTGTGGTTGTTGACGTAGTTCAAATATCAGAGATAACTATGTTAATGAAAGTACTTGTTTGGATATTTTGAATTCCATGGATGAATTATTTTTTGCTGTTATAGTTGATAAACGGGACCGTTGAAATTGAATCTGGAGAATGAAAATTGAATCTTTTATTAGTGCTGTTATAAGTGAAATAGAAAAACCAGCTTCTAGAAATCCCATCTTCCATGAATAAAAACACCACACAAGAAATTACCTTAGTTTGTAGAATAAAAAAAAAAACCAAAGAACAAGTTACCTTAAATTCTAGAAGTACAAGAAGAAGTCCATAGCACAAGTTTCCATAAATTGTACAACTGCAAATCCATAGAAAACAAAAATTCATCTTAGACAACCAAATGCCAACTCACTTGAAATCCATGGATGCCTCGCTCTCCTCCTCCTGCTTGCTTTGTAATGCTCTTGAGGATCAAAAACCAGTGCAGCAGAGGCAGGGATGAGAGGTGAGGGAGAGTAGGGTTAGGGTTTGGAGCAAGGGAGAGCAAAAAGAGGGAAGAGAGATCTAAGAGAGCAGGAATATGGTTGGAGTGTGGGGGAGAAGGGAGGGAAGAGAACTGAGAGAGAATGGGGCTGGGGTTTGAGAGGATTTAAGTGTGGAGAAAGAAGGATGCCACAATATGCCACAATACCAGAACAATCCGCTTCTCAATTAATGTAACAATGTCACACTAGCCCAAGACTCACTACCAAAGAGATAGAAGAAGAACAATCAAGATGAGGTGGAAGAAAGAATTTTCATTCAATGATGAAAAAATGGGGTTCACAAAAGCATTAAAAGCTTGATACATGTGACACACTTTTCCCACCACACGCATCTCTTTAAATAGAGGTTCTTACAACCATGTTTGCTACAATAACCATCCACTTACAACAATAACTACCGATTTACAACAATAATTACTAACCATCTAGTAGTTTCGTGACTTTCTATTACACAAATTACAAATACAACCACACTACATCACTCCAAATAAAATCAAGTGAAAACTAATATGATTTATAAAAGACACACTTTAACAATTTTAATTAAGGGGGGTGAGTGGGTGGGTTGAAGCCTCCCACATGAGCCCCACATCCCACATGAAGCAGATAAGTGGGCTTTGTCGTGCGTTGACTTTGACTACCCTCCCTGGAACTTGTGGTGCCCCAATTGATGGGATACCGAAATTTTTCCTCCAATATTCACTGTAGTTCACGTTGCCAACATGGAGCTGCTACAATGAACTAGAAGTTTTGACTAAAGTAGTTGAAACTTCCAGTTGCCAACACCCCCCTATAGGAATTATATAAATTTTGTATGTTGGGTTCGGCTGCCATGCCGATTTCATGGGCTTTAGTGAAGAAAAAGTCGGCCATCAAACCGCCTAGGTGCAAGCGGGGCATGCCTAAGGCCGGCGCCTAAATGGTCTGGGCGCCCACCTAATGGCATCTGTTCAATAAAAAAAAGAAATTCAAATCCACCCAGAAAAAATAAGGCTTGGTCTTACAGTGAACTTTACTCAAAAAAAAAAAAAGGCTTGGTCTTGCCTCTCTCTCAGGTCCATGTGCTCTCTCTACATATGAGAAGAAGAAGGACTCCAAGTGTTTGATACGCTGCCTCTCTCTCTCACACGCACACACAAAGATACACATGGACCCCTATGTTCCCTCATTACACGTAAGAAGAAGAAAAAGACCTCCAAGTGTTCGATGCGAGGTCTCTCTCTCTCGATGTATCCTCCAAGTGTTCGAGACATCTCTATCACAAATACAGATCCAAAAGAAAAAAAAAAGAAAAAAGAAAAACAGAGGATGATCTTTAAGAATTCCATGCGAGCCCTCATGCACACACGTATGTGCGCATCCACACGCACACACTAACACTAAACACGTACTCGCACACAAAACAACATATGGCCCCCACCCCAACCCCCTTCCCTTAGGGCTGCCCAAGTATCTAGGCACCCACCTAGGAGGCCGCCCTGCCACCTAGGCGGTCTATGCCCTTGGCCACCTAGGCGGCTGCCACCGTCTTTTTTAACATTGATGAGCTTCTTGTCCTAGATTATCACTTGTTTGAACTTTGGAACAGCTATTAAAAATTTCTCATTACCAGATGCAATTTTCCATTGTCATTTTCTGCTATATTAGGATTGCTTTTTAGTGGTTCTGAATCCAATTACGGCTCTTCTCATGGGAAGGTAGTTGCTAGCCTAGATGCATCCTTGATGCTTTGCCCCAACACCTGTATCAATGAAAATTTTCTGATTATGATTGAAGTGAGTGCCCCACATTTCAAAATGAGCAAACATTTTGGAGGGTTGACGAATTGTCAATCAACTTGACAGTAATGAGGGAATGTAGTTTTCCCACTAGTGGGTCATTTCCAAGAAAATAAGAAGGTTATGGTGATATATTATTTTTAGGAGAGCAAAACGGACACACAGGAATGTGATGCATGGTTATAGGAGAGAACTGAACACTCAAAGACACCCATCCACCCTCACCCACCTAAACGGATGTACACATACACCTGTATTTTGTAGTACACATGAACATGAAACCTGTTGGAATTTTGTGCATGCTGATGGAAAAAAACGTATGTGCACTAACGACTTGAATCGGGATTTTTAAAGGATCACAATCCATGTCTATGTTGTGTTTCTTCAACCCCTTCTCTTTTTGCCTGGCCATTTAAAATGGGCTCCATTTTGGATCTTCCCTTCTTTTCTCATCCTACTTAGAGAAATCTCTTTTTTCTGCAGCACGCCTTTATTTTAGGCTTCCCTTAATGACTCTTTTATGTAACATCATTTATCCTGATAATTATCATGGCCTTCTGTCTGTACTGTTCCATGTATTCAACTTTGCTTTGTTTCCACTTTTTATGCGAGTTAAAGCTCTACTTCTGTTTTCCCCAATATTGACTTAGCTGCTAACACCCCCAATTATCTTGTGCTTGTTACTTCTTACTTCTCCCTGTTACCCGTGACTATAGTTCAATGCCCATTCTTTCTTGCTCCCATGTCATGCTGCGCTTCTTCCTCCTTGTTTCCAAGCAAAGACAAACCCTGTGGACCATGTTGCGATGGGATGATTCAAAACATAATTTATTCCTTTGAAATTTTATTTATTGTTAGTCTTTAGTTGCTATTGGATATTCCTTTTGCAAGATTTGATGATATTCTTTAGTGAGTAATTTAAAGGAAAATGATTCAAGTTTTAAACAAGTAATAATGTGCAAATTAGAGTTATTCTGTCTCATTTGTTGCTTCCCGTATCCTTGTCAAGTTTCTGACCAATCATCATACGTCGTGCTCTGTGCAGTTTTGCTAAGTTTCAGTTTCTTATGTTTGTTATCTTTTGTTTTCAGGTGCATCCCGAGGGGAAATATGTTGTAGATATTGATAAAAACATCGATATAACGAAAATCACACCGTCCACCAGAGTTGCTCTTCGTAATGATAGCTATGTTCTTCATCTGATTTTGCCTAGCAAAGTGGACCCTTTGGTGAACCTTATGAAAGTTGAAAAGGTTCCTGATTCTACATATGACATGATTGGGGGCCTTGACCAACAAATCAAAGAAATTAAAGAGGTTAGTAAGTTACCAAAATAGTGATGCCTTTTGACAAGTATAATGCATTACTATGGTCCATGGTTAAGGTTGAGTTAGCTGACGGTTCAACTTTCTTACCATGGAGGCCTGTTACTGGTCTTAAGTCTTAAGTGACGTGCTCCTTATTGTTATCTTACATCAAATTAGTCTAAAGTTTGCAAAGTCACTTTTTTAGATTTTGTAGGTTATTGAGCTGCCAATTAAACATCCAGAACTATTTGAGAGCCTTGGAATTGCTCAGCCAAAGGTACTTGTCTAAGATCTAAATATTATCATTAGGTTTTGAAGCAGTTTTATTTCATGAAGTGTCTATTTACCTTTCGTTTCATGTTTCCTCGAATTTATCTCTGACATACTCGAGTTTTTTATGTATGTTCTTTGGCCAATTTTTAGGGAGTCTTACTTTATGGACCTCCTGGAACTGGAAAGACCCTATTAGCAAGGGCTGTTGCTCATCATACAGATTGCACATTTATTAGGGTTTCTGGTTCTGAGCTGGTTCAGAAGTACATTGGTGAAGGATCTCGAATGGTTCGAGAACTTTTTGTTATGGCTAGGTATGCCTTCTTTGCTTCTATCATGAGGTCCTCCCCTCTCTAACTAGTTACGCTTATTACCCTTAATGTATATAAAATACTCTCAAATCAGTTTATGGGATTGTAAATTTGTAGTCATTAGTTTTCATTGACATGCTGGTTTGTCATGGTTTTTAGGTTATTTTTCTGCTAAGCATGAACTTGAGGTTATTTTCATTGATCTGCTAGTTTGTCATGAACTATCGGTTATGGGTCTGTTATTTCTCACACCTTATTGAAAAGAATGAAATACTTCCACATAAATGCTCATCCAATCTTAATCACAACATTCTCTTTGGACCGCAGCCTTTTAGGAGAATCCAAACGCAAAAGTGTCAACCATATCTGCAAATGCATCAAGTCCAAATATCCTATGGTTTCCCCTACAAGCTGTGAGGAAGGGGACCACAAACAGATGAAAATATTAGATAGCAGAGTTTGGGATGATGTAGTGCAAGAAAGTTTTCCTACGTGTTCATGGAATTATTGAGTATTCTCGTAATTACTTGAAACACTTACAAACTGGAGATGCCTTAGAACTGGCAGTTCTTCGATAATATTGGGGTCTGGAGTTCCTAAGAAGCATCAGTTACAAAGAAGGGAACTTTCAATTGGGAAAATTGCGTCCATTCATTGTCACTCACATTAGGGATTCCAGTCTTTCTGCCAAATGTTTTTCTTGCTTTGGATAAATAATGTACTTCTAGATTAGGTTATACATCAATTAACTTTTTAAAGAAGCTTATATATCAACGTGCTCCAAAAGATATGGAAGCAAAAAATGGTAACAAATAAATCATTGAAACAATGAAAGTCCTATTAAAATAGGTGGAGACAAACTAGGATGTCTGCCAAAGATTTACAAAATAAAAACAGTTGAAAGAAATAATGAAGCCTTTGTTGCATAAATTTTGTACCAGCACATCTAGGCAATGGTTTCTGATACTGGAAACCTTGCTGAGAAGAGATACACTTCTCTCACCAACATCATAAAGATTCACATCCCTGGTTTCCATGGGGACAACAGCTCCTACATGCCTGTATGATTTCATTCAATTTGTTAGCTTCCTGTACTTAATGGACAGTAAAATTGTGAGAAGACAGAGATTGGTTACGACGCTCATGCATCGACAACTGTGGCATCTCCAATACCTAAGGGGGCAGTAGACATGAATCACACAAACCCTGATGGATCTTTGATTTAACCTCATTACATGGGGAGGTTTGAACTACCAAGGGCACTACTGTGCAAGTGAAGCTCAGTGGATCCTCAGGGTTTACTTCACTCTCACGCATGAAGACTGAAGGTCACTAACCATGTAGTGCAGTTGCTGGGATCTATTAACCTAGGTGGAATCCCTGCTCTGGAATCTTGCACCAATACTCTGGGAAAGAGATCGTCTAGGGATCTCGATTTTTGGATTTTTGGATCTCGATGACTATTTGGGATCTCGATTTGCATTGTTAGGGATCTTGACTCCCACCTTAAAAGACCAAGATAATGGTCAAATTGATGATTTTCTTTGTTTATGGCCAACTAACGATGCAACTGTATTAGAAGTATAGTTGCATAAATTGCTGGCTATAACTAAAGGAATCTTGATCGCTAACACTTGGGGATCTTGATCATTAACATTTGCATTGTACGGATGGTGCGCCAAACCAAAGGGATCTTCTAGCCTTTCATGATCCTCCGCTTCTGATCCCAAGAACTATGCTATGAACCAAGTCCAAAGTTGCGTATCCCTGGCATCTAGTTTATACACTAGAATGCAATTAATTACTTTTCTTTTTTTATGCTGTAGAGCTCAAATAATTATTCACTCTCCAACCTTATCACAAACTGTTGGCAATATGAATGTTAATTCAAATTAGCTATCTTTTCTGTTCTGACATCAGACCAGATATTATTGCTAATGGACAAGGCTTTTACCTTCTGAGGTGGAAGGGATGCCAAAGCCTAGTAGTCGGGCAAACTAACCTTTGTGATGGCATCACCTATACCATACTGGATATAAGTAGGAAAAGATCCAGATGTCTCAACTAACAGGCAGTCAAGCGATAGGTGATAAACTGTCTCCTTTGCTTTACACTACATCAAATGGATATTCAGGAATTGGACCTCCCTGTATGCTGAATGTCGTTTCCATTGTCTTTTATGCTTTTTTAATGGTGCCAACTGCTCGAAGCGAGGAAGCTTCAGCAGACCTGGTGTATCGCGTACAAGGTAAGTTTTGTATTGCAATACACGTAAGTGTTTCAGGTTAGAAGGGAAGGATTTACTAGAGAACATATATCTAAGTTCCAACTGTAGACCATCTTTTCCAATCTTGGGGCTTCTAGGAAGACCTTCGCCACAAATCTCAGTAAATTAGAGAACTTTTGTAAATCCCTTGGGTTTTGAGAAAATCAGAGCGGCCATGCCACCTTGTTAGTTTTCTCTCAAAGTTATTCCTAGGTAACAGACCTTTATCCCTTGCTACGTAGGCAAGCTTGGGACATAATCTTGCTAGAAGGACCAAATATCAGAGCAGAAAGAGATGCAATTTTTCAACCTGTTACTAGAACTCATTTGGTTCCAAAAGGCTGAGCCTCTTTGCACAAATGCCCCTTCAAGGAGCTTCCTACATTATTACCTAGCTATAATTCCGCACTTACTCCTATTACGCCCGTATTTCCCCATAATGACCATCTTCCATAAACCTTGAAATCCATGGTTGTATCTTCTATGCAATTTGCCCACAAAGGGTCCTATTTCTGTCACTTCCTAATACCTCCTACTTCCCTTTGGTTTGCAACACATTCTCATACATAACTTATGAAATATATGAGTATCACCATTTCCTTGCCAAAGAAACTGCTTGTGTATTGGTTTTGAGTTCTTTGCCATTTTTGCAAGAATATGGAGACATGATAGACTAGAATATGACGGTGAAAATTTATACCGTTCTTGGGAAAGTCCACAAAAGCCTGCTAGAATACAAAATTTGAGAACTTCACAACCGTCATTATGATTCTACTAGTTTCTTCATTGGACAATTATATAATGTTGAAATATTTGCCAGTACATCAAGTTCATTCTAGAATGACTACCTGCTCGGCTTGTTATACACCCCTGTGAGGGCCCAAGGGAAACCATCCTTAAAAACCTTAAAACTTAAATAGAGAACCCTCCATGACCAGATCTTGTTCCTTAACAAGAGTTCTGTTTTCTAACATAATCCCTAGTCTGCTGCTTGCAAGTGCAGTGATGTCAAATCACTCCCCTTACTCCTCCCTTGTAGACTTAATAGCAGTGTCCTCTATCCAGTGTTCCCAAAATCAAACCGGAACGACTAACCGGATATGGGGCCAGAAGCGGTTTAACCGGCCTAATCGGTAAAGCGGCCAATTCAACCGTTCTAACCGGGCAACTCCCGAGTGATCAAAAAATT